CGTTTGAGAAGTGAGATTGAATGACTGCTTGCCTTGTCGGAGGGTATGATGATCGTGCGCAGCGACGACGATGGCTAGAGCCTTATTGATCGTAAGATGGCCAGTCCTCTGATGACACGTCAACATCCTACTCACCTAATTTGGGTCCTGGTTTCAAGCGGGCCGTAGGATATGTACAGGTGTTGGAGGTCTGTCGGCAGAACGAACATGATGGAATCTGTCGATCACTGTAGCACGGACGCGTTAGTAACGAGGTTTGACGGGGCGGCGGCGAGGTTGCTGACCATCTGGACTTTCTCCTACAAATCTCTAGTCAGTCGCTTCTCATTGGCACATGGAGAGGTGCGAAGAAGAAGAAGAATAGCCCGGGGCATCTACGGTTCCGCTATCGGTGCATCTTTCTCAACATTGAGCTTCTCTCCGGGGTATTCGCGCAGAAACCGGGGCGCACCACTTACTTTTTACACAAATCACATGCCAGAGCCGACCTCACGGTAGCCCGGGTTTGGTTGTCCACAGTAGCCATAGGATCAAATCGATGGGCAAAGATATCGTAGACAAACATACAACATGGGATCGCAAGACTGTTGTTACAACGGCAATGAGAAGACTAGGTGGGTGAGATTCAGAAAATACAGACCTTGCTCACCTTGGCACCTCTCCAGACTCTCTGGATCCCCGGCTTTACCCCACTTCGCTACCAGATAGACAACAGTCCCCCGTACAGATTCCGGAACCACATGGAAAGTATCATACTTTTATTGGTAGATGCAGACTGCCACTGAAGAGAGGCTAGTATCTGCGGCCAAATTATCATTTGCTCACACCATTCCTTGGAGCGGGTCAATCGGCTTAGACTAGTATGGATTTATCGAAAAAGTGAATTGAATCTTGGGTCTAGACTCCGGCTCCGCTGTGGCGGGACGAAAAATCTTGAGTTCTGGTGAGTAATTACGTGCATGGCGATGGGGCTTGGGTATAGAGAGAAACTTATTCTATCATCCGGGTTCAACATGGGTAGCACGATCGATCGTAAAAAGGCAAGCATTCAGGTGCGGAGGCTATCCAGGCTTGATCAGTGGAAATCTGACGGCGGGCGAGATCGACTGAAATAGCTATTCGCTGTAAGCTTTCTCATATGATCCTCTGATAAGGATCGGAACTCTACCACTTGGCCCAGCAAGGTCAGCACCCTCTAGCAAAGAAGCACCGTGATGGTTGTGGTCGAATACTTTGTCTGCTCCTTTCTTTCCGCAAGGGCTGATTCCCCACCACCGCCATGTTGACACAACCTACTGTAGCCGCAGTGCCCAAGTGGCGAAGTTGGAGAACTTAGCATGACATGTTTCTGGCCTTTTCAGCTTGTGAGGCTGCGATGACGGGTGGCGTTTGGGAAGCTGGGGCACGACTGGCCGCGTCACTACCGATTCATTCTCATGAGGCTGTACGTTCTTCGGGCAGTTACAACAGCTGACATTCCCCTTTTTCATACTGTACGAGACCAATCTGAGGCCTCCTCTTGTCGGCAATACCCTGTTTAGGAGTTCTACTTGATGCAAGCTATACTTGTTCATTTCTTTGATGAAAATGTCTCATGTTTGATCGCACCAGCAAATGCACTCTCAAAACTTATCCACACCATGAGGTAACAGAAGAGACAGAATCTTTCGTTCACCGCTCATTCGCCCCCTGCCTCCTTACGTAGCCATCTACTACCAAACTGTGCACAACCTCCCATGAGCAACTTCAAGTTCGAATCCGTCCACTTCCTGCCTCACCCCTACTCCTGGACTTCGTGGTGGTGACATGATCACTTTCCACTGTGGCTCGTCGTTGTTTCCTCAATCTGCGTTGTGATAGATTTCTCATCGAAGTCGGCCATAGCGTCCACTTCAACCAGGCCATTGCCATCTTGGGCAAAGTGGGTCACAACTTCATCCCCAAACAGCTTACCTATCTCCTCCAGCGTCAAGTTGCCTGTTTCCGGTAGCCATTTGTACAGCATAGCGAAGCACACAACGTCACAGGAAATAAAGACCAGGTAGAACTTCCAGCCAATATTTGCAAAGGCCTTGGGTGCTGGAGCCGTGTACAATACCGTCGAGACAAAGTATGTGAACAGGGCAATGGTGAGACCCTTGGCTCGAATGGTGGTTGGAAATGCCTCGGAGCACCACTGAAACGTTTGATCAGCAACAGTCCTGCCTCTACGTGAGGGAACGCCACTCACCACGAACTGAGTTGGATCAAGGAACAGTCCCAGTCCCAGTCCAAACATCATGAAGAAAAACATTGCAGCACCGTTGCCAGCCTTGTGCGAGGTACCCGCATACTTCCAGCTGAGAAGAGCGGCAGCAAGGAGACATGATCCGGTCCAGACAATGCCGATGACTGTTTGCAGCACTCGTTAGCCGACGGCTGTCACCGTCCCTGGAATCCGACTCTACAAGATGTACTTACGCAGCATTCTTCTCCGCCCAACCCGATCAATGACAGCAGCGTTGACAAAGTTGAAAAAGACTGCAATGACAACATAAATGGCGTACATCAGGAGAGGCATCGCACCCGTCATTCCTGCCGATTGAGCGACGAGAACCAGGTAGGAGGTGATCCCGTTATAGCCAGATGATTGCACGGCAAACATGATCAAGATGGCCAAGAGAGTGCGCTTCCTCCATGACGGAACGCTGAACATGCGGACAAATGATGCTTTCATCTCCTTGTCATGTGCCACTTGTCTCTTGATTTGGATGAATTCCGCGTATGCAGCTGCATCTCGCGGGTCATTGGGGTCGTGATGCACTTTCTGAATTGTTTTCCATGCCTCTGCATCGTGGCCTACCCAAACCGACCATCTGGGAGATTCAGGGATCCAGTAGCAGACAATCACCAGCCCTAGAGGAGCCAGTGGAGCTAAACAAAGAGGCATACGCCATTGAAGTGTGTTGTTTGTGGTAAAGTACGTGCCGTAACCAATCCACGCGGAGCTGCAGAGAAAATCAGAAGAGGATTCCACACTTCCATCGGCGAGGTTCAATACCTGAGATAACCTAAAGAGAATCCAACCCCAACAAGTGCACTGAGAAGGCCTCGACGATGGGGTGGTGCGACCTCTGCCACGTACAACGGGACCAGAGCCAGCAGTTGGCCTACTCCTAGGCCAGTGATGAATCGAAAGACGAATAACATGGGGATGTTGATAGAGCCAGCCACAACCGCAGAGCCAACCACTGAGATGGCGCCGCCGAAGGCGAGGGCTTTTCGTCGGCCATACTTGTCACTCGTGTAGGATTGTATGATGGCTCCAAAGGCAGCTCCGGCACAGAAGAGCCCACTGATAGCTCCGATCAAAGTAGCGGTGTAGTCCGAGGTTGCTACAGGCACAGATTAGCTAAACACGACAGGTATGCAGTCCGTATCAACCCACGGTCCAATTCAAAATAACTGAAAAATCCAGGTTCTCCAATGGAAGTGACAAAGACGGCATAAGAAAAGCCGTAGGAGTATGCGCCAAGGCAAGCAGCACAAACAATCAAGATATTATACCGCGTGAGTCGCAACATCTTGTCACCAATGCTACAGCCTGGGTGTGAGGTTGGAAAGTACGCGTACGCCGTCAAACCAGCCCCAAGGGAAGAAGTCGCATCTTTAAATGGATTTGGTCTCCTGTCTTGACAGCCCCAAGTCTTAGACGGAGCATATCTGAGGCTGAGGCCGGGGGCTCCCCAGCCTTGGAGATCCACCGACAGGACCGCGGGGTCCCCAATTCGGGAACGAGCCATTCTACAACGGGACGCTCAGTACTGGCAATCCGAGCGATGATGGGCCGAAACGAGACAATCTGGAGATGCTCAGCGATTCGCTTGTCGCAAAGGTACATTATATACAGCTTCAAGGGAGAAGAGGCCCACCCCATTCACTTGTTACGCTTGGAGTCGGACTGTGAAAGAGCACAGACATCTTACCCACGGGTTGATAACGGGCAGATAACGGCTCCATCTTCTTGCTACACTGCCTACTACGGCTCCAGCGGTCAATATGTGCCTGAAGATCTTTAACAAGTATGAGTAAGGTCTGTTCAGGTCATTGAAAGTCTGCCGCCCTGGTTGACCCGTGCTCCGCCAGGGCTGAACATTCTATATGGGCAACTGTCAACGTGACCAAGATCAACCGCTGTACTCGGGAGACTGAAAATTATATCCTCCTGAAAGAATCTCGGAAAACCTCGGAAAACCTTGGTGATATGTGCTGATCGAGACTGGATAAAGGTGATAATTGACGAATGTCGTTCTGGTATTCACTTAACAGGTCTTTTTCGCGTGTGTGGATTCCCAATCGCATCTGGCCATAGTATACAAGGTCGGATAACCTCTGGTCACTGGAGAGCTCCTGAACCAGGGGAGAAGGTCATTCAGAATGTAGAGGTGACCTGCACATTATTCGCCAGCAGTGCTACGAGGCTCGGAGATCACATCTGTCGTTGATCCTAAACAATATTTTCGTTTGCTTGACACCAATAGATGTTTGAGTATCTACATCTTATGTATTCAAGATAGCAGTCATGTTGGCATGACGAAAGTATGGTTTATTTGTTACCACCTAAGATAAGTGTCCTCTATTTCACATTCATTCAGCGGTCGTACAACTATGGTATCAATCCCATTTCCCGGAGGATTTCCGGATCGCTGTTCTTTAGCCTGTTCAGCTGTACTGTTTCAAAAATTCCAGTGCGTCCGACATCTCTTGTTGAATTCGCTGAACATGTTTCTCACTTCGGGGTTTGATAGCGATCTTAAAAGGCAACGGCGCTTGAAGAATCCCTGGGTTATACGCATCGGGATCCAAGGGCACCTTAACTCCAGTCCGAGGATCTACATACTCGGAGAAGTCAAAGGCCCAGAGGAGTTTTGCTGCGATGCGCCACATATTGCGCTCGGCAAGATGCATACCTGGGCAGACACGTCGACCAGCACCATAGTTATAATGATGTAAAGATGAAGTTAGTCTCTCAAGGTCGTTGCGTAGGGAGAGATGAACTTATCTCGGTTTGCCCAGTCAGGACTTCCAGCATAGTCGCTAGCTAGCTTGTGGTGATGGAGATATCTATCTGGGTTAAAGGTTTCCGGATCAGGGTAGATTTCGGGAGAGTGATGGATGGCCCATGTGGGGAGGAAGACGGTCGAATCCTTGGGGATCAACATGCCCTCGTAAACATCGTCTGTTACTGTGTCAGCTACGGAGCTCACCTCCTTCAGTATCGACTGCATCACGAACCTTCCCGTGCCCTGTGAGGTAGTGCTGAGACAGCCCTGTGAGAGATAGGTCAGTCAAAGTGTGCTAGCGAGGATCAACGGGTAAGCGTACACTGGGCGCCATCTCATGCCTTCCTTCACAATGCAGTTGATGTACGGTAGTCGGTCAAAGTCGGACCAGAGGGGAGCTCTCTCAGTGCCACAAACAGCATCAATTTCTCTTCGTGCCTTCTGCTGAACTTCCGGGTAGAGACCAAAAGCGAGGACCAAGGTAAGAAGCTGAGCTGCCGTTGTATCTGCACCGCCTTCGACCAGCTCACCCATCAGGTTGTCGAAGCCATGCTTGGAGAATGGCATTCCCTTCTTTTCGTACTCGTCCAGCAGAGTGTCGATGATGCAATTTCGTCGCTCGCCCTTAGCCCGTCTCTCGTCGATCCGGCGGCGTGCCTCTCCCCAAACACTATCCATCACAGAACCAGCCTCGACAGCCCGACGTTTCCAGAATGCCATCGACATGGGTATGTACCGGAGAAATTTGAATTCATCCACTGGAGGGTTAGCCCCAGGTTCCATAGCAGCCGTCCACTAAGTAAAAGGTTAGAGATGACCTGAGAATGACGCCAGGATTGTTGCTTTACCTTGTCCATCACATCATAGACGCCCTATAAAGTACCATTAGTGGACACACTCGAAAATGTATCATGTCACCTACTTTGGCCCAGAATGAGTCCGGAGTTTCGCCACGATACCCATACGTGATTGAGCTCACTACAGATGCCGTGTATCTCCTGATCTGCCTGTAGAAGTCTTCCGGGGTTGTCAAGAGGTTGTTCATGAGGATCGTAGCCCTGAGGATGCGCATTAGTCTTGGGTCAACTTCTCAGTAAGGGGAAATATGATTACTCTGCCTCCTGAACTCGGAAATGCTTCTCGTCCAGTGGCTTAGGTGAGAAGTTGTGCGCGATGACCTTTCTCTTTTCTCTCCAGAGAGGATCCATCTGCGAGACCGCCAGGTGATCACCCTTGGTCAGAAGCTGGCCAACATAAGTCTCTGGACGGTCCGAGTAAATGGCGCCTTTCTCGACGAGAAGCTTATGGATCGCCTTTCGATCGCACAGAACAACGACATTCGAAGGTCCAAGTTTGAGACTGAAGATTGGTCCGTATTCCTTGGCCCACTCTCGAAACTGCTTGTAGAGGCCTGTGCGAGGAATCTGGTGAGCATTTCCTAGAATTGGAACCGTGGGCGGACCTGGGGGCATTCGAGGGTCGCGTTTGCCGACCTGCAAGAGACGATAGATGGCGAGAACGACGACGACGACCGCCGCCCAGAGGTAAGGCTTCGACCAGATTGGTGTGTCCGCCATTGTGATCATGTTGAGCTCGAAACCAAGCTGCAGGAAGTGTTGGTTGCGTTAAGAGAGATCCAATTCAGTGTCAAATCTCTTCGCTGGCAGTAATAGTAAAGCTGCTAAGGGTCCGCCTCGCGCATCACCAACACCATAACTGCTGTCACATCTGGAGGCCCCGAGGGGGCTACTCCGAGCCATTCTCCGACTTGCCACAGGAGACCCGATATGAAAGGAATGAGGTTCGTTCTCGGGCGATTTGGCCATCTCATCAAGTTAACCCGGCCAAGTAATCGGGGTAATTTCTATTGGTTTGCTCCACCTTTCAACGCTGTAGCCGAATTGATTGTCTCCACCCGTTGAAATTCAGCAGGGAAAGAGAATAGCGGGGGAGGATAATTTGATCTTGCGCGATCAAATGCTGCAGACATGCTGCATCTATCAGGTAACCTTGCCGCCAGGACGGTTGGTAAGCCACCCAAATATATCGACGAGAAGTTTGATTCGACATTGGCCCGTAATAGCATTCATGAGCTAGGGGGCTGTGGACGACCAGAGAGGGCGGGCAGAGAGTCGACACCATCGTACATAGATTCCGGCTTAACAAAAGTAACCGCGCAGTTCTCTTAGACCCCAATGGCACTCTTGTGCTGCGATTGATCTCTATGTTTGGAGTACTTCTCTATGCACGGCTAGCAGGCTAGCATAACAAACCTCCATCCACTACTACCGTCGCTCCAGTCATGTAGCTGGACTCGCCGCTCAGTAAGAAAACGAACGCCTTTGCGGCCTCATCTGCTTCACCCATTCGCTTCAGTGGCACTCGGGCGAAAACTGAAGACATATTGTCCTTGTCCAACCCACCAACAGCCGTCACCATCGGTGTCTTGATGGTACCCCTGTAGGATTTAGCCACTACCGAATGGTGGGCGGTGAAATCGAACTCACGGAGCCACGCAATTCACTCGTATACCTTGTTCGCCAAACTCCCTCGCAGCACTCTTGGTCAAGCCGATCACAGCATGCTTTGTTGCCGAGTAGACAGAGTTTTTGGGATGGCCCTCCAAGCCAGTCGAGCTTGATGCATTAACTATACTTCCCCCTTTGGATATGACTCTCAATTCAGCCCGTAGGCAATTGAATAGGCCCTTGAAATTGACACCGGTGATGAAGTCGAACTCCTGGTCGTCGATCTCTGTCAAGCTACCTGTCCCAAATGACTTTCCCAAAACTCCAGCAACGTTGGCAGCACCGTCCAGTCGCCCAAAGTGCTTCACGGTTGCGTCGATCCAGCTGTCAACCTCTTCGCTCTTTCTGATGTCAACGCCGAAGGTCAAGATGTTGGTGTTGTCGGGACATTGGTTCGATCCTGTAATCTGTGATAAAACCTCGTCTAAGCGATCTTTTCGAATGTCTGCGAGCGACAACAGAACCCCTCTAGAGTACAGGAGCTTAGCAGTTGCCAATCCCATCCCTGACGCAGCGCCGGTAACAGTCACGACCTTTCCAGTAAAGGATGTCATTTCGACACGGTGGTACTGCTGAGTTGGGGTCTCCTATTCGGTGTAAAATGCTGGAGTGCTCTCTATATTTAAACGGGTAGAGGACTAGGGACACCAGGCAGCCAACAGAAGTCATCTTGAACCTTTGGCGGGATACCGAAGCACGGTCGGACTGAGGTAAGATCATCCGAGAGATGAAGGTGGAACGGTGTGATTCCGCTGAAGTCTGAGTGTTCGGCAGTACTATCTACATCAACTCCCCTTTACATGGTCGTGTCTTTTGACTTCCGCTGTCTCATACGGACAGGTGCATGCGCGTAAGCACTCAATAGACGCTCCAAGTGACATGTTATCTTCTTTATCCCCAGCCATGGGATTTCCCAAGCCTCTTCCTCGAGCGCTAATCACACAAACAGCATTTTCCCCCTTCATTCAATACCCGGAGACGTGCTTGGGTTGGTACGGCGCCTCTAAGTAGCTAATTTCCTCATCTGAAAGCTTCAGGCTCACTGCTTCAATGGCCTGGTCAATTCTTTCTTTGGACGAAAGCCCGAGTATAGGATTTGCACCCTTACTCAATACCCAAGCTGTTGCGACTGCTGCCATTGGAACACCCCTTTTCATTGCCACCTGTTCAACGCGATCGACCACAGCGTTGTCCCTTTCGTTCTCTTTACTGACCAGCGCCGACAGGTAGGCGTCAGTCTTTTCGCGGACAGTCTTTGCGGACTTCCAAGGCCGTGCAAGCACGCCCCGAGCCACCGGAGACCAAGGAATGATGCCCACGCCCGTAGCTTTACAGTATGGAATCATCTCCCGCTCTTCTTCTCGATAAAGCAGGTTGAGGTAGTTTTGCATGCTAATGAAGCGATGCCAGCCGCGCCTTTCAGCAATATTCTGCATGCGCTGAAACTCCCACGCCGCCATCTGCTTTGGAATTAGAAAGTAACTTGTGCAGCACGAGCTAGGGAAGACGAACGCTGCTTGCGCCGATATATCTCACTTTGCCTGACTGCACCACATCATTCAGCGCGCTCATGATCTCTTCCATTTCGGTGTCTCGGTCCAATCTGTGAATCTGGAGGACGTCGATGTACGTGCCTAGGCGTTCCACGCTTGCATCGACCGCATCGAGAATGTGCTTGCGGCTGAGGCCAACGCGATTCACCATGGCCCCGTCATTGACAGTACATTCCGTCAGAGGTAGCTGACTGCCATCGTGGCTCACGCCGAAGTAGCACTTTGTCAAGATTGTAACATTCTGCCGCGGGATATTGAACGTCCGAAGCGCCTTGCCTATGATTCTTTCGCTTTCTCCATGAGAGTAGAAGTCGGCCTGCATCGCAAGGTGAGCAAGTCTCTCTTTCTGATGCTACCATCCGTCAGCGAGCGAGCCTACCGTATCCCATGTGTTTATGCCGCTTTTATATGCATGTTCCAGGATAGGCAGAGACTCATCCTCATCCAGCACCCATTTTTCCCATGTTGAACTGCCAAATGACATGGCTCCGAGAATGATTTTCGAGATTTTTAGACCTGAGGTCCCAAGTCTAAGTTATTGGCGAGTTAGCCATTGGTGCTCAGTACGATGATATCCACTACAAACCTGGTATATTCCATCTTGCTTGTCATTGTTCGTAGCATGCCGATGTGAATTATAGACAAATCTGTTGTAAACACCTCTTATAGGCACCATAACATAATTTACACGATGTTCGTCTCCCTGTCAGACCTAGATCAGCAACGACGCGTTTCGGCGCAATTTCACAAGTTTCAAACCACCCGAGAACCACCCGCGCAGCACTTCAGGCGCGGAGATCAATGGCCAAGGCGACAAAAGAAATAGTTCTGTTCGTAAGTGCTCTGCCATCCAAGTCAAGTCAGGCAGAACTGGATGGGATCCTTGTGAGGACTCGCATTTTTCATCCTTACAGTGGGTGTTTGCTTTCCTGCTGCTCTATCAGGGAGTGCGACGCGCTGAATATATATCCCGAAGAAGCTTCAGTCATTCCCATGTTGGATATGCTGACATGTACCGAAGATGGGCCGCTCAGGGTATTCTATAGATATCTGGATGAATCATCTTCAAGCTCTTCTCCGTTCGAGCTACAATCAATCCAATGTTTTCAATTCCAACAACCCTCGGGACTTGTGAATGATGTCGACGCCTTCTTTTCCTATTCAGCATAACTTTGCCCTGAAGCAGCTATCCCCAAACTCCAAGCCCAACTACCAACCGTACGTAAAGTTGAGCTTCTTCTTCTCGAAAAGACCCGACATCAGTCATGAGGATTTCCACAGGCATTGGGAAACGGTGAGCTTGATCTATCTCCTATCCAATAGATGTGCTCCGTGCTCACTGCTTTGTGTCTCAAGGTGCACGCGGATCTGGCCGTGGCATCAAAAGCATTTGCGCTCAACATCAAACGATATACTCAAGTGAGTAGAGAATGACTTCCCAAAGTTGAAGCTTTTGACCGACTGGACGATCAGTTCCATGCACTTCCTAAGTGCAAGGAAGCGGCAAAGACTCTGATCGAGGGAATGGAACTATTGGAGTATGACGGTTGTAGTGAAATTCTGGTCTCATCCATTGAGGATGCAGCAGCGTTCTTTTCGAGCCCAGAATACGTCGAAAAGATGAACAGCAAGTCAACGCCCCGCTCGCGTTAATCAATCCCTGACTGTCGATTACAGGTGACGAGTGCAACTGGCTCGCTAGACCAGTCCACTTCATGATCGGATATGACAATTTGATCTTCGGCCAGGGTTTACCGATTCCAGAGGCCACAGACGGCATCCTGCCCAGGGGCTTGGAGACGGCACTTGGACAAGAGTGAATAGATTACTGCAGTCTCTAATAAATGGTCATGACTTTGTGACAATGTTAGGTGACTTTATCAGTCCCCTAGACCTATGTACTTGTTGTCCAGCTGCACTCGTGGCTACTGGCTGGCGATACCTTTAAAAGCCTTGAGGGGATCGATGGTGCATGTGGGATCGGCCTTCATGGTTGACATTTCAACCGGGAAAGAAACATGCTCATGAACAAACTTCCAAGCTCCGTCAATCTTTGCAAGAATATAAGTGATACGGTATGTCATCTCGAACTTGATACCGTCATCAGATGTGCCACCCACTAGGCGCTGCATCATGGTGATGTACCCCGAGGTCTTGGACGTCGCCACAGGCTCCAGGTCCTTCATTTCGAATCTCGAGTTGGAGAAATAGTGGAACGTCTGGTTGTAGTGCTCCAACATCCCGCCTCGAGGGGTGAAACCGTAGATATCGTATGTCATGGCGTCGTCAAAGTCGTAGAAAGGCCGCCCAGGCTCGATGGACTGATTAAAGAGCTTGTTCATCACGTGGGACCAGCCGCAGATGTGGTTCAGGATCTCCTGCTCTTCTTGATACAGCTCCGGTTTGTGCAACTAAAGGGTTTCGGTCAGAATAAAGAAGACTCTATCTTGAGACGAGGAAAAGAGTACTTTGCTGGGGGGAAATGTCATCTTCTTTAAGGCGTCCTCGGGCGTCGAGTAAGCCGTCTATCTTTTGTCAGAGCTGCGCCATCATTCTGTGGAGGATAATGTTACCTCGTCATACCATCCTTCGTTGGAGTTGTTGGCAGCCATTGCAATCGCGGATAGCCTTCAACGCGGAATATGAATGTATCGAGCAAGCGTCTTGTCTTTTGCCCTTGTGTGTCTATATAGGAATGACAGGAAGCAGGTGAATATGCCACTGCTGTGAATCCATCCTAATATTATATCTTTCTTACATAACAAGTCCTACGGGCCATTGGATATATGAGCTGTAAATGATGCTCCTGTTTGTTGTCCGTGAGATCTGACCGCCCGAATGGCTCCCCACATTTGAGATGTAAATCCCCCGCGACCGTGAAACTCCCGCAGGGTGCGATATAGCACTGACCGTCAGGACCGCCCGATAACATACCGCTGAATTCAACCGCTTGCCATAATCTGGTTGTGGGTAAATGCAAGCATGATGACCTTAGAATGCACAGAGCCTTTGGGCGGGCCTTATACTTATATCATGAATTACTTCCAATCCATTGAGCTAGTTCGGAAGCATTTATTATCAGCACTCCTTGCATTTTACTCTACCTTATTACTGTTGAAGGCCTTGGCAAGGTCAATTCACCCCAAGGATGTTCGAAATCACTCTCTTTCATCTTGGCGTAGTGGCCATTGTCGTTGCCGGTCTTTTCAAGATATTGCGGATTGGCAGACGTGACCCTCGTATGCCACCAGGACCTCCAACCTTACCATTGCTCGGGAATCTGCACCAGGTCCCCGTCACCGGACTTTACAAGCAGTGAGATCTCTGCCTAACATTCATACCTAATACTTGTCACTCACAGCAAGTGTCCAGGTTCAAGGAGTGGAGTCTGCAGTATGGAGGAGTTTACTCCCTCAAGTTCGGCCCTCGAAATGTGATTGTTGTTTGTGACAAGAAGGCCATCCATGAGCTCTGGGACAAGAAAGGGTTAATATATGCTGAACGGCCCAAGAATTATGTTGCCGATATCATCACTTCTGGCGACAGCATTGTGTTTGCCCCAAACACGGTAGAGACAAAGGAGAAGCGTCGGATCGCAACCCACAATTTCTCGGTGAGTATGGGTTTGTCCGAAACCAAGTCATCGTGGTTTAACCCGGAGAAGCCTAGGATCTTAGATGAGAGTGCTGCAAAGGTGCAAGATGCCGAGTAAGTGCAAGGCGGACAAAGTATTCGTGGCATCTCTGACCGCCAGCAGGGTCACTGTCTTGACCCATCAGCTTTTGACGGGACCCGAGAATTTCTACAACCATGTCCGACGGACTACTTCATCCATTGCATGTATTTTGATCTACGGGCATAGAGGCCCTACATTTGAGAACTTCTGGGGTCATGTGAGTCCCTGACACTGTACCTCGACCACACACTGGCTAATCGATATAGGCTGTCTATGATGCTCTCAACTTGGTAAGCCTCGGTGCCCTTCTCCTGGCCAAACATTGACTGACCAACACGAATAGTTTGGAGAAGCCCTCGAGCCAGGGGCAAATCCCCCAGTCGACGAGTACCCCTTCCTGAAGTTAGTGCCAGAGCGATTTGCATTCTGGAAGAGACGCGCACGGACGGCTGGAAAAGGCATGCACGACATTTGGACAAAAGCTCGACGCCTGGTTGACGAGCGCCGTGCTAGAGGTGACCATCGAGTGTCTCTTGCAGACAGACTCCTCGACGAGTATAACAAGAAAGGCTTCCCCATGTCACAACACGCCTTGGACCAGCTCTTCGGAGAGTTGGTAGAAGGGGGAGCCGAGACAACCTCGTCCTCCATGTTAACCATGATTCTAGCACTGGCCAAGAATCCATGGGTTCAAGAGAAGGCATACAAGCAAATGGTTGATGTCTGCGGAAGCCAACGGTGAGACTTCTGAGAAGCAGCCTCTGTTAAGATCGAAACTGACGTGAATGAAGGATGCCTGAGTGGTCGGACTTTTCCCGGCTGCCCTATGTGAACTCAATCGTAAAGGAGGGTATGAGATGGCGGCCGGCGTGAGTAGAATGTCTCATTCTGCCCCACGATATCTCCGCTGATCTAAAACTAGTGTGGCAACGGGCCTCCCTCGCAGCACTGCCGAAGATGATTGGTATGAAGGCATGTTCATCCCCAAGGGCTCGACGGTCTTTCTTCCTATCTGGGCTGTCCACCACATGGAAAGAGAAGGATACGATGACCCGTTCCAATTCAATCCCGACCGATACATAAATCACCACAAATTGGCGAATGACTATGCCGGGAGCGCGGACTATAAATTGAGAGATAAGTTTACCTCCTCCCGTTGACGTCCTTTCCGCTAACATTGATGTACATCACTATGGATACGGGGCTGGCCGTCGAATGTGCCCTGGTGTCCACTTGGCCGAGCGCAATCAATGGCGAATCGTCGCGAAGCTGATCTGGGCTTTTGAAATTAAAGAACCGGTCGACCCTAGAACAGGCAAAACTATATCTCTGGATCCAGAGGACTACTCGAACGGCCTCTTGCACGCACCACATCCTTTCAAAGTTATATTCAAGCCAAGGAGCGAGAAGCACGTTGCAGTAGTCAAGCGCGAGTATGAGAAGTCGTTAAAGGATCTTGCACCATTTGAGTGAGATTGGGATGTCAAGAGATTTAAGTAGCTCTCTCCCATGATACAAACTTCCACAAGACCGAGTGCAGTATCGAGCACGTATGTTATAAATACATCACTTATCTGTTTCTCTTCCACAAGATAGCCACAACCTCCACCGTAACCAGTCGTACAGAATGGCACTGTCTGATACACGGCACTCGGAATTAATCACTGCCCAATGCCACTTAGGTCAGCAGCGTATCTTGTCCTCTCCGAAGTCCACTTCCATTTGCAGACCTGAGCATCCCGGCACGTAAGATGAGCCATGACTAGCTTTAGCAGCGTGAGGACGGCCGTGAAGAAGCAAAGTAAGCAGTGAGTCAGTCAATCAAGTATTTTGTCAGAGACATCGAGGGTCACTATATAGTCAATCCTTTTCCTTCGAAATCGACCAAGTGTATGCGTTAGTATCCTATGATTTTTGTCACGTCATTAAGGTTCCATTTGAGCTACTTGAATGATAGTGGCCGCCGCATTAGTTCACATTCGCGGCGTCCGAAAGTGGATTCATGCAGTTGAGGTAGTCGTACAACTCGGCAACCGCGTCCGCAAACTTCTGGATCTTGTTGATTTCGTCGTTAACGACCGAGAGCAGAGACCCAGATGGAGTGTCAATGTTTGCCCGTATATTGACCAGCGGACTCTATTGTTGATAGATACTACGACTTTATTCGGAAGCATGAACCATCTGTTGAAACTATCAAGATGGTCTTTGACCGCCATCGCGGAGCCTAAAGTCGTGACACTGGGTCCGAACAGGTTGCCGTAGGAGGTAGAACTGCGGATCTCGACCACCTATTTGTGCCCGGGGTGGTAAGAATTTCTGACTTGGTGGAAGCTGGTCTTATGTCCAGCACCGTAATCTGCCCCAGTTCGTGCCTATGGTGTTTCAAAAGACCCAGTGTGTGTTCTCTTGTACTTTTCAGTGCCATTAACGTCGTTTTGAATTCTGTCTGCGGGTGTTGGCTGGGCAGCTTGCTATCTTGTCCAGCTTGGCACCGTCAACGTAGATGTCGCATCCTATCCAAGAAGCTCTTCAAGGGCTGCAATTGCCTGTCAAGGAGCGGAACAAAGTCACCCCAAAGTCACCCAGCATATTTGCGAAGTGATAGTAAAATTTACCTGAATCTGGATTCTACCTAGCCAAGTTGTTCTCAAGTTGCTGGCAAGCGATGCCGATACCTCCCAATCTGTCCCTTGCACGTAGGACTTCAGCCGCAAGCGCTGTATATGAGTCCACGTAGTAAATTTGTGCGACAGATGGTCAATTTTAACCTTGGTGATGAGATCAGGTGGCTCGGAGGCACCAGTGTTGGCCATCGATACGTCTCTAGGTTTTTCGAGAAAATGCTAGTTCCTGTTTTATTAATATATGGTTCTGTACACTGGTACTGTATATCATTTCCGTGGTGGTCGGGCTGGTGCTAACATGAAACATGTTGCCAGGTCGCATGTGCTCTTAAGCATGCTGGGAGAAGGGGACT